TTTTACTTTCCTTAACTTTTTTATGTATTGGCATCCTGTGGAATGGCAGAACCACAAATACTGTCTAGAAACTTGTGCTTTCTCATGGAAAATTTCTCTGTGTGGCACAAAATATGTTTATCAATAAACCCAAGTATTTTTCCAGTTTCTTTGTAATAAGAAGCCAAAAGGTAGATAAATCTATGTTTAGTAATTAATATTTAATATTATATCTTATGTGGAAATGACCTAGGTACTCAATAAATTTTATCTTTTAACTTAACAAAACCCTAAGGTTTTAAGTTACCAAAAGATTTTGAAGTTATTTTAAGTACTTACACCCTAATACATAATTATTATTAAAAAGTTCACCCAAAACTTTTATCTTTGTTTTGTTTTGTTTTGTTTTTTGTGAGTAAGATCAGCTCTGAGCTAACATCCAATGCCAATCTTCCTCTTTTTGCTGGGGAAGATTGGCCCTGGGCTAACATCTGTGCCCATCTTCCTCTACTTTATATGGGATGCTGCCACAGCATGGCTTGACAATTGGTGCCTCAGTGTGCACCCGGGATCCGAACATTTGAACCCCGGGCCGCCAAAGCAGAGAGCAGTCACTTAACCACTACGCCATTTGGCCGGCCCTCCAAAACTTTTATCTTTTTCACATCTATTTAGTTTACTTGTTCTCAACAATTATTTAGATTGCCTACAAAACTTCATGAGACATTAGAAAAAATCAGCTATCATTCTAAGTTATTATTTTTGCTAACAAGTTTTGTAACAGAGATAACATGTCTGTATCATATCCAATGCTGATAACTCAGAAGACACTTATTTTCATCAAACCAACAAACTTATATAAACTTTCATTTACCAAAGATTTTTTTTATCCTATTAGCTTGAGAAACATTTGGGTTAGTATCTATTACATTTATATAAATGCTTGCTTTAAGCCAATTAAATACAGGTCTTTTAGAAATTATACCACCCAGAGGTAAAAATATTGCATGTATATAAGATATATAGACACATACACAGAGATTCCACAGCTATTGTTTTAAAAATACTGCAATGAATCAGGTACAGTAATGCAAAGCTCACTAGTTATGAAAGAATAATTGACTCCAAATTTTGTTTTAAGCTTTTTCTACTAATATTTTTTCTAGATTTTGGGTAAAGGTGCTCTTATGGCCATTTTTCTTTCCTTTTTTCCTTTTTTTCCCTTAAGTCTTAGGAATTGGTGATGGGCTAGACAACAGTTCCCAGAAAGGTTACAAGCTTTTTGAGATTAAAGGAAATGGGTGACATCTGAACTGCCTCTAGAACTGCATTTCCAGTCTTGCAAGGATTTTTTTTTAAGGACAGTTGCTGTTAATTCCTCAGAAATTGGGTTGTAATTTAATGATATTATAGATTGATCTGCCTGTTCAACTACATCATCCCTAATTTGCTTCTTTCCTTCTGGGTGCTTAGTTTTATTTTAACTTAGGGGAGAAGGCCTAAAAAAAATTCCTATCAGGCTCTGAATATCAGCTTCCGGTTTGGCCAAATTTCTGATTGTTAGTTACTAAATGCTTTCAAATATCTTTTCAGGTTTCAGTCTGGACAAACAATAACTACCCGGTGGTGTTGAACAGTTCCAGTAATCTTTAATGTAGCAGTTTTCCAGAAAATCTCTGAGTCTCGTTAACTCTGGGAGGGGCTTGTTTTGGGCTCTCCTTTGAAGGTAGATTACAGGGACATCTGTAAAGCCACGACCTAATATATTTTTCTTTTAGGTACATTGTATAACCAAATTTTTTATTAGCCTTTTGCAACAAAACTTTTGATAAGGTTACTTTGGAGTTTTGAAGTCTTTTCTTTTAAGTGCGCTTCGTAAATGATCTTATCTAATTAAAATGTTCCTTCTAATGGCCAGTGTAATTCCCCTGAGGCTGATGGCAGATTGGCAGGACACTTAGCTATAATACGGAGTGCAACTCACATTTCTGACCAGCCATCTCTGACCACAAAATGGGGTGCACCTTCATTTTTGTCCAACCATATTTTGGGGCCTCCAACCTGATGATGATGAAGTCAAGCTCTCAGGATGTGGAACAAGTTGTTAATATTTTGCAGTTTTTGGTAAATATTTATAGCTTCTGGAACATTTAGGTTTTGAGGAATTGTGCCAGAAGGTGGAGCACTTGACTCTTTAAAGACTAAATATTTTCCTTGCTCGTTGGTTTGGAGGCTCAAAAAGAGCCCAAAGTGGCCAGTGCAGTTTTTTTTTTTTTTAAAGATTTTATTTATTTATTTTTCCCCCAAAGCCCCGGTAGATAGTTGTATGTCGTAGTTGCACATCCATTCTAGTTGCTGTATGTGGGACGCGGCCTCAGCATGGCCGGAGAAGCGGTGTGTCGGTGCATGCCCGGATCCGAACCCGGGCCGCCAGCAGTGGAGCGCGCGCACTTAACCGCTAAGCCATGGGGCCGGCCCGCCAGTGCAGTTTTAAATTATCCTGGGTTATCTTTGTTTGTTTGTTTTTTGGTAAGGAAGATCAGCCCTGAGCTAACATCTGATGCCGATCCTCCTCTCTTTTGCCGAGGAAGATTGGCCCTGGGCTAACCTCCGTGCCCATCTTCCTCTACTTTATATGGGATGCCGCCACAGCATGGCTTGACAAGCAGTGCATCAGTGCTCGCCCAGGATCCGAACCTGTGAACCCTGGGCCGCCGCAGCAGGGCATGCGCGCTTAACTGCTGTGCCAGTGGGCTGGCCCTATCCTGGGTTATCATGCCAGCTGTTTACAGTTATTCCCATTTTATGGGGCTTTTCCAAGGTAGCTGCAACAAACAAGCTAATCTCTAAAGAAAGTATGTCAGGTCACTGAGAAACTGAGTCCCTGAACAGGCAATTTTAACAAATAAAATAGTCATAAATAGACAAACATGAGCAGACACAGAAATCCAATTCTCTGGGACTCTAGCCCAGAGTTCAGGACTGTAACCTGATTCTTGAGTGCCCCAGTGGCTATAACCCTTTTATGTTGTCTCCTATGGAGTGGGACTCAAACCCACAATTCTCACCTCGGGACTTTAACCCAGCAAAAATCTCCCCAGTGGCGACTCTAACCCACAATTCTGAAGAGATTATTAGACAATTTAGGCACAGGCATATTTTAACGAGGTTACTTACCCAAAAGACATCTGATCCAGGAGCTGTTTCTTCTCTCAAAAGAAAAAAAGAGTGTCAGGGGGCCTGGAGCACCACAGTGGGAAACGAGAATCCAGTCATGTGAGCCTCCAAACAAAGTTGTCTGGGCAGCCACTTAGGGTCAGCAAAAAGACCCTGCACCTGCCTGGGGCTCCAGACCCTTGGGCAGGTGGTCACAGGACCTTGTCTCTTCATGGTCACCAAAATTATTACCGCACAAAATTGAGGTTCTCTTGCCCAAGGTGCATAAAAAACCAATTATTATGGCATCAGCTTTTGAGAAAAGAAAAGACTTTATGGCGAGATTGATCTGCAAGGAGACAAGAGGCATAAGCTCCCAGATCTGTCTCCCCAACCTAGGGCTCAGGGCAAAATTTATGAGATGAAGGTGAGGACAGTCTGAGGTGTGGAGACAGATGATCGGAGGTAAGGAGAAGTGAGGTAATTGATGATCTGCACAAGCGTAGTCAAGTATCATACCTCTTCATAAGATGCATGTTCACAAAATAATGGTATTAGTGCAATCTGAGGGTGGAGTTTTCAGCACCTTGACATCAAAAAGGTCACTTATCGGGCATTTGTGCAGACCCAGCTGATAAATTGGTGATCTCAACCAGCCTAAACTGGACAAGAGCTTGTTTCTCAGTTCCTGCAAAACCACTCTTAATTACTCTATTGCTAAGAGGGGATTGGTTGAACTGGTCCTAGAGGGTCTGTGGTTATAACTATAATGGAGTATAGCACAGACTGTCTAACCAGACTGCTAATGTTCAAATCGACTGCACTGGAGGCAGCTTGAGAAAGCCAATTGTTAAGTTTCCAGGAATTTCACAAGCAGGTTGTTGAACACAATCATTTTTTAAAATTAAATTATATAAACTTACAGTTAAATAAATTAAACTATAAACATTAAGCATTAGAAACAAAGATGATAAACACTTAAAATGCATCACTTCCTAATTATTTTACTATGTTTTATCATTATCTATGCTCATGTGGTTATTTATGTCTATTGTATCCGTATGGCGGAAATACTATATAATAATGTGCTACTGCCCGTCTCTTCCCAACTCTATATTCATGACGCTGCATTGGTAGGTTGAAATCAGCCACAGTGGTATTTACACTGTGGAAATCAGCAAACACGACAAATGGTGTCTTCCTCTGCCCCTCATCTCTCTGGGTCTCAGTATTCTCATCTGTGCAGTAGCGATGGTGATGAAAATAGTACTTACCTCACAAGATTTTATGATGTTAATGAGTGGATATATGACTGGCACATAATCAGTGCTGGCGATGATGATGATGATGATGATGATGATGATGATGATGTTAGGTGATGATGATGGTGATGACGATGACAGGTGATGATAATGATGATGATGGTGATTGGATAAGAGGTGTTCCCAGTGGCGCGCTGAACCTGCTCATACTAGCTCATGAGTCCCCATTTAGGGCATCTCTTCCCCACTCCATGTTCAGGGAAGCCACTTTGATAGCTTGAACTTGGCCCTGGTGGGAGAATTTACACCAGAGTAATTGGCAATCTATAACCACCTCCTCCACCACTGGAGAGCTGGTTGTTAAACATCTACCAGCACACCACTGGGTATATAGACTGCCCCAGGCACATTGTAGGTTCTCAGCAACAAGGCAGCTCATAGTGGTTAAAATGTCCAGGAAACCTCAAAAATAGATAAATCTAAGACAGGTCCCAAGGACAGAAACCACCCTGGTGCCCAGGAACTGATGCTTGTGTTATCCTTACCAGCTGTGTGTGGCAGCAATGCTCTCCTGACCAGAGTACCCCATCCTCTTTCTCATAGAGCCTGGGACGCAGCATCATTAAGGCAGGAGACTTCATTGAAGCCCACTACAACAACTTGCGGAGACCATATACTGTGGCCATTGCTGGCTATGCCCTGGCCCAGTTAGGCAAGCTGGAGGACCCACTTCTCAACAAATTTCTGAGCACAGCCAAAGGTGAGGGGCAGCCTGGTGGGGTAAAGAGGAATGCACAGCTGGGGTTGGAGGGTGGCGATCTCGAGGTGGGATATGTGGTTACAAGCTGAGCTGGGGTGGAAGCCAAGCTGGAATGGGTGGCTCTAAGGTGTGAAAAGTCCTCACTCTAAGTCACACAAGAAGGTCCGTTGCATTATTCATTCAACAAGCGCATGCTGATCACTAGCTATGACACAGGAGCAAAGACATGGGTTCTGACATGAGACAGACTGAAATTCAAATCCCACTCTGCCACATTCTCACTGTGTGACCTTGTACAAATCACTTAACCTATCTGGATCTCATCTTAAAATGATACCTACATCATAGGGTGTTGTAAAGACTAAATAAGTAGTGCAGATAGTAGGGTCTAGCGCACAGTAAGAGCTTTATCACTGATGTTGTTATTGCCTTTAGTATTGTTAATAAGATTATCATTATCTCAAGTGTAATTAGTATTAGATAAGATAGTGCTGTAGGGAATTTAGTGCAGTGCCTAGCACATAGTGAGAGCTTAATCATTGGTTCCAGTGTTGACACTGTGCCGGGTTTATGCTCACAGATATAACATATCTGAATGTATACTGAAGAGATTTAACACAACAGAAGTGTTTCTTACTGTGTAACAGCACAGTATGTGTGTCCTAAATTGGTAGGGATCCAGACCTATCTTTTCACAGCTCTGCCACCCTAGGGCCTCAGAATCCATTCCATCCAGGCAGAAGGGGAAACAGTCAGAAGGATTGTGCAAGGGAAGTGGACCAGGCATGGAAGTGACTCCATCACTGCCCTGCACATTCCGTTGACTAGAGCTCAGTCATGTAGCCATACATACCTGCAAAGCCTTCTGGGAGATGTAGTCCAACTGTGTGCCCAGGAAGAGGAGAGAATGGTTCTTGGTGACAGTCTCTGCAACAGGTACTTTCTTAGGCACTTGGGATATCATGGTGACTATAGCACAGTGCCTGCCATCATGGACCCACCTCCAGTTGAGGAAAGAAATGAGTTAATAGATTGCTATAGAGCATCGCAATGCTGGGATGGGAGAAGCAAAGGATGCTTTGAGAGACAGAAGGAAGGGCCTCACTCAGTCTTGGGGTGCCATTGAAGTTGAATTGTGCAAGTTCAGGAAGAATTAACCAAGAGTAGATGAAGAAAAGCCAGCTCTGGTGGTCTAGTGGTTAAAATTTGGTGCTTTTGCCGCCGCAGTTCAGATTCATTTCCGAGTTGGGGAACCACACCACCCATCTATCAGTTGTCATTCTGTGGCAGCTTCATGTTGCTGTGATGCTGAAAGCTATGCTACTGTTATTTCAAACACCAGCAGGGCCACCCGTGGTGAACAGTTTTCAGCGGAGCTTCCATATTAAGACAGACTAGGAAGAAGGATCTGGCCACCCAATTCTGAAAAATTGGTCGTGAAAACCCTACGAACAGCAGTGGAGCATTGTCTGATATGGTGCCAGAAGGCAAGAGGATGGAGGAAGTAGACCAGGCAGGGTTCTGCTCTGGTGTACACAGGGTCGCTAGGAGTCGGAATCGACTCAATGGCACTGACAACAAAAATGGAGAAATGGTGCTCCAAGTAGAGAGAACAGAATATGCAACGGCACAAAGGTAAGAATGAGCGTGGAAAGTTTAGGGAATCTCCCATAGACCAGTGGGGCTGAAGTTCAGCATTCAAATGGAGGAGTGAAGATTGATGAGGGAAGAGAATGAGGCAGGAGCCAGCAGATTGAAGGCCTTGAATGTCAGCCAGGACACCTGAACACCAAGAAGTCTAGCATGACTGTTTCTCTGAGCATCTCCAGGACAGCGCAGTGAGCGTGGGGGTGGGGGTCTTCTCTGCAGACAAGAACCGCTGGGAGGAGCCTGGCCAGAAGCTCTACAATGTGGAGGCCACATCCTATGCCCTCTTGGCCCTGCTGCAGCTCAGAGACTTTGACTTTGTGCCTCCCGTCGTGCGCTGGCTCAACGAGCAGAGATACTACGGAGGTGGCTATGGCTCCACCCAGGCAAGTGACCCCACTTCCTCCAGACACCTGCAAACCTACCTCCTCTGGCCTCCTACTGGCCTCCTGGAGAAGATGCTGAGACCCAGAAAGGCAATTCTGTCCCATGAGCCAGGGCGATTGGAGTGGAGTTGAGAAATCAGTTTCTTTAGTTGTGAACCCACCTATGGATTCTAGAATATATTCTGGATGTCCCAAGCTGAGCCTCCCTTTCACTCCTGGTGTCCAGATCATGTTCTCAGAGCCCAGGCTCATATGTGAGCCTCTCTCCCCCACTGGTGGATTCTAGGATTCTAGACTGGGTTCTCAGTTCCACTGGGGTCCCGATCTTATCCTATCTCACTGGTGGGTTCCAGACCAGGTTCTCAATTATTCAGGGCATTAACTGAGCCTCTGTCTCCCCCTGGTGGGTTCTAGACCATGTTCTCATTTATACCAGGCTCCCCGTCTTATCCTATCTCACTGGTGAGTTCTAAACCAGGTTCTCAGTTATTCAGGGCATTACCTGAGCCTCTGTCTCCTGCTGGCGGATTCTAGGCCATGTTCTCAGTTCCACCAGGCTCTCCATATTATCCTGTCTCGCTGATGGGGTCTAGACCAGGATATCCTTTACTCTAGGGAATTATCTGAGCCTCTGTCTCTCCCTGGTCTGTTCTAGACCATAGTATCAGTAAATTCAACCTTCAGAAACCTCAGGTTCCAGTTTGACCCTCTTTCCTTCTGGTGGGCTCTCAATCACATTCTCAGGGTCACTTTTGCATTATAGATCATATGTTCAGTGTCCCCAGTCTCCAAATTTATTCTTTTTTCATGAGTGAATTCTAGACACATTCTCAGTGCCTCCAAACCCTTGTCTTAGTCTCTCTCCCCTGAGGGGTCCAGATCACATTCTCAGTGTTCCTAGACCTTCAGTCTTACACCTATACTTTCTGGTAAATTCTAGACATGTTTTCAGTGTCTCCAAGCTCTGGTCTAAGCCTCTGTCCCTTGGAGAATTCTAGAACATGTCCTCAGTGTCTAACAACTCCCAGTCTTACTCTTGTGCTCTCTGGTGGGTTCTAGGCCACACTCTTAGTGTCCCCAAGCCCTGGTCTGATCCTCTCTCACTCAGAGAGTTCTAGAACTTGTTTTCAGTATCCAACAGCCCCCGTCTTATCCTCACCCTCTCTGCTGAGTTCTAAGCCACAGTCTCAGTGGCGCAGCTCTGATCTGAGCCTCCCCATTCCCCAGTGGGGTCTAACCACTTTCTCAGCCTCCCAGCTCACTCTCCTTTGTTCTCATGGGTTCTAGGCCACCTTCATGGTGTTCCAAGCTTTGGCCCAATACCAGAGGGATGTCCCTGACCACAAGGACCTGAACCTGGATGTTTCCATCAACCTGCCCAGCCGCAGTGCCGTGGTCAAGCACCGCATCCACTGGGAATCCGCTAGCCTCCTGCGGTCAGAAGAGGTACAGCCGCCTGTCCAAACCTTCCTTGCTGTAACCCTCCACACCAGCCAGGGTTCACCGGGAGGTGGGAGAGAGGGCAGATGACCATCACAGCCAGGGGAAGGCTTGGTTCCCATCACCCTCTCTTCTCTCTCCCCACTCCCTGCAGACCAAGGAAAATGAGCAATTCACATTAACAGCTAAAGGGAAAGGACAAGGCACCTTGTCGGTAAGGAACAGGAACGCACACCTGCTTGGCCCCACAGGGGCCTTCTCCTTCCCAACTCAAGTGGACTGACACGTCGTCTTCCCTCCTGTCTTGCCAGGTAGTGACAGTGTACCATGCAAAGGTCAAAGGCAAGGTCACCTGCAAGAAGTTCGACCTCGAGGTTAAGATCCGACCAGTCCCTAAAACGGGTAAAAGGAATAAAGACCCTGTCTGTCACCTTTCTCCCACCCCCATTCTAATGTCTGCCCCACTCCTGAATCGGGTCCCGGGGACCCCCCTCATCCTTCTGTCTTCTGTATTTCTAGTCAAGAGGCCGCAGGATGCCAAGAGCACCATGGTCCTTGACATCTGTGCCAGGTAAGAGATGGGTCACTGGGGTTCATTTTGGCCATCCCTCTGTCTCTAGCAAGACCTCTTACTAATAATACCCATGGTAACTAATACTTTCCGGGATTGTGTTGTGCATCTGGTACTGTCCTAAGTACCTGCCAGGAGGTGGATAGCATGGGCAGTCCTCACTTTGCATGGCATTGTGAGACTAGCAATGACCACGTAAGCTGAGACTGTGCAAAGCAATCAATAATCAATGGGAGAGATTACCATTGTTCTATGACCTGTACAATTTTTTATCACACATCAAAAACTCTCATACTGACAGTTATAAAGGTATAGAGAAATAAGAAGCATAGTAAGACGAGTATTTATTGAGTACACTGTAATTTCAAACATTAGAACATTGAAATTAAAGTGTTTTTTTTTTTTCCTTTGTTAAACACTTATCCAAAACACTGAGGTTAGGACAGTTCCTTCTTTTTTCCCTTTGTATAACTTGTGAGATGGAGCAACCATCTTTTCTATACCACAGTGAATTGTCACGCTCCCTTCTAAGTTTGGGTCAATGCCCAACATTTTATCCTTTGAGCTTTTAATGTCATGATATATCTCTGAGAGTTCCTTTAATGTGAAGGTTTTTTCCAGCATCCTTCCCCTGGGACATCTTCATCTTTTAGTCACAATGCTTTTCTCCTTTATGTCGATAAGCTCCCTTCACTAAGTTCCTCTGGCCGCATACCTGGTCTTTCAAATGGCAGCACGGTCAACATCCCCCCCATCTGCTATTTCTTCTCTAACTCCACTTATGTTCTATTCAAATTTTACTTCTAGCATTATCACTTTTCATTTCTTTGCTACACTCCCATCTTTGTTGGTCTATTCCCTCTTTCAATTATCCAATTTTGTGAAATGTCACGTGGGTTTATCACTGGGAGCTAAGGAAACATCGCAGCTACACGCTTTGCTGTCTGTGCATGACCTGAAATGGATGCTCAGAGACCCATCACTGACATTCTTGAAGTAAAGTGATGTGATTGGTCATTGATTGTGATGTGCATCTGTTATTTACATAGTGATTGGTGGACTGAGGGCTAGCAGCAAGATTTGTACTTTGTGCAATTACTCATGACTAATATCTGTAATTCATCTTTATATATTATTAATATGTATGTTTATTGTTAATATACAAATTTTAGTGGTACTGAAGTTTGAACTGTGATGCTGGGGAACTGGTGTTATTGAACTAGACCATGGTAACAGAATCATGCAAAGTGAGACTGCTTCTTGTTTTCATTCTCTAGAAGATCTGAGGCATGGAGAAGTCAAGTAACTCATCAAATGTTACATAGAGCTGGGATATGAACCCATGCAATTGGGTTCCAGAGCCTGAGCAATTAGTCACCTAGACCATTACACCACCTTTCCTTTATTCTCCTTGGGGGAGTGTTTCTTAAAATCTAACATCAGTCTATGCTGCTATGTGGGAACCAGAAACCTCAGTCCCCTTGTCCAGGCACTAACTCCTGGAGCCGAGCCCACCCTGGGACTCAATCCCTCTCTCCCTGCCCCCTCCAGGTACCTGGGAGAGGAGGATGCCACCATGTCAATCCTGGATATATCCATGATGACTGGCTTTTCTCCCGACACTGGTGACCTCGACCAGGTATAAAGGTGTTGGAGTCAGGAGCTAGGATCACTGGAAAGGAACCTGGGGTCTGGAAGAGGCTGGAGGGAGGGAGGGGGATTCAGGAGGGATTTTCATAAGCCCCATCCTTCCCCAGCTGAGCTGTGGCGTGGACAGATATATCTCTAAGTATGAGTTGAACAAGGCCTTCTCCAACAAGAACACCCTCATCATCTACCTGGACAAGGTAAGGCTTCTGATGAGATCTTGACCCCTACCTGGCTGGCCTTCCCTTCTCCATTGGCCTTTATCTGTGGGTCAGGCCAGCCCCAAGCTAGAGGACAGGATCAGTGCTGCTGGGTGGTAGAGGAAGGAGCATATAAAACAAGGTGGCCTACCTAGTCAACGAAGTGGTCAACCCAGGTCAACAAAATGGTCAACCCAGGTCAACGACGTGGTCAACCCAGGTCAATGAGGTGGTCGACCCAGGTTAACACACCTCCTATGAGCTTCTCACCTTCTGACCACTGATGTTCTAACCTCATTTTGCACTTGCTTCCTCCAACTTATTCTTCCCCCCCCCCAAAGCCCCAGTAGATAGTTGTATGTCATAGTTGCACATCCTTCTGGTTGCTGTATGTGGGACGCCGCCTCAGCATGGCCAGAGAAGTGGTGCATCGGTGTGCGCCTGGGATCCGAACCCGGGCCGCCAGCAGCGGAGCGTGCGCACTTAACCGCTGAGCCACGGGGCCGGCTCCGTTCTCCAACTTATTCTCATCACAGTCTTAAACAATCACTGAAAAAGAGCCACTTTGGTTAAAAAAATAAAAGAAAAAAAAGTGCTCAGTGGAGAGAAAGGCTCCTCTCGCTCCCCACTCGTAGTTTTTCTCTCTTCTCATATTTTCTTTCCATCTGGCTTTCTCTGGTGCTTCATCTCTGACATGATTTGGGCTTCCTCCTCTCTTCTGCTTATTTGTTCCCCTTCTCCTATCCTCATATCCCTCTTGCTAACTCCTAATACCCCCTGTGTCCTTCACCCCCTGTTAGCATAAGTAACACTAGCCACTATAATAAAAACCGTAAGAGTATGGGTGACTCAAACCAAGAGACTTGTATTTCTCATTCATGTAAATTCCAGTTGATATAAGGAAGGAAGGAGACTTCTGCTCCATGCAGTCACTCAGGGATCCAAGTACTTTCTACATCTTGTGGCTCTACAATCCCTAGGACCTTGGAGTCCTCTGCTGGATCCATTCTTTCCAGAGGAAAAGAGGATTGTGAATGAGATGAGTTTTTTTTAATTTTTTTTTTTGTATTTTAATTTTTGTACTTTTTAACTTTTATATAATTTCAACCTTACAGAGAAATTGCAGAACAGTATAAAGAAGTTTCATATACTCTTTACGCAAATTCACTAATTGTTAGCATTTTCGTCCAATTAGACAGGTCTATCACATACAGGTATATATATATATATATATATATATATATATATATATATACACATATGTTTCCTACTTTCTTTCTTTCTATTTTTCTCTTTATTTTTTTCCAGCTTTATTGAGATATAATTGACATCTAACATTACCTAAGTTTAAGGGGTACAGTGTAATGATTTGATTCATGTATATATTGAGAAGGGATTACCACAATATGGTTAGTTAACATATCTGTCACCTCACATAGTTATAACTTGTGTGTGTCTTTGTGTGTGTGTGTGTGTGTGTGTGGTGGGAACTTTTAAGATCTACTCTCTTAGCAACTTTCAAATATACAATGCAGTATTGTTATCCACGGGATGATTTTATGGGCATAGATAGCAATCCATTGGCCAGAACTCAATTGCCTGGCCACACCAAAGTGAAAAGGAGGTTGAGCAGAGTAATCTAGCCATAAGCGTTGGAGAAAAAGAAAATGGATTTGTTGAACTGCTCGTTAATCTTTTGGCAAAGATTCCTGCCACCACCCTCCCCACCCATTTCCCTCCTTGATCCCTCAGTTTGTCGCCCACTGCTCCAATCCCCATATCTACCCTATTTGGACTCCCTCCCATGTTGCCCCCACTGACCAACCTCCTCCTTCCCCCCAGATCTCCCACAGCCAGGAGGACTGTCTGTCCTTCAAAATTCACCAGTACTTTAATGTGGGGCTTATCCAGCCTGGATCAGTCAAGGTGTACTCGTATTACAACCTGGGTGAGCAGCCAACCTAGGATCTGGGGTCTGGGGGTCCCAGAGATCAGTGAGTTGGGGTCTGGGGGTCCCAGGGATATATGATTTGGGGGCCTGTGGGTCCCAGGATTGGGGACCTGGCATCTCCAGGTTTGAGGGACTGGACTTGGGAATCTGAGCCCCACAGCTGTGGTCTCTGGGGTCCTAGCTCTCTGACCCCTCCCCACCACCTCTGCCCACAGATGAGAGTTGCACCCGGTTCTACCACCCAGAGAAGGAGGACGGAATGCTGAGCAAACTCTGCCAAAAGGACATGTGCCGTTGTGCTGAGGGTGGGTGCACAGGAGCCAGGAAGGGGTGAACCATGCCCACCAGATCCCCCACCTCTATTGGGGTGACCCAAGGGGCCCTGAAAGCCCACACCCAGTGGACACTAAGAGGGATGGCCCTGGGGCTGGCCACACCCATGGATGGTGGGCCCTGGACAAGAAGTGGGACTCAGACTACGTCCCCCACTCACCCGCTCTGCAGAGAGCTGCTTCATGCACCATGAGGATGAGAAGGTCACCCTGGACGACCGGCTGGACAAGGCCTGTGAGCCAGGAGTGGACTATGGTGAGTGGGGGAGGGGGGCGTGCATGCATGTGTGATTGTGTGTGAACGACAGTGTGCCTGGCTGTGGTAGTGTGTGAGACTGTGTGACAGCAGGTGTGGTCATGGTTGTGTGTGTGACTGGCTGTGAGTGGCCATGGCTGTGTGTGGCTGTGCATGCTGCAGTTGTGGGTGACTGGTGTGTTTGAGGGTGTGAATGTGTTGCAATGGGCCATGATTGCATGGGAAACCATGGTTATGAGTGAGCTGGGTATATGCAATTGTGTGAGAGAAGGGGGTTGTGAGTGGATGTGGTTGTGTGCCTGGGTATGTGTGTGACTGTGAGGTTGTAGTTATGGGTAGCCATGATTGTGCGAGACAGTGGTTGTGGGTGACAGTGGATGTGAGTAGCTGTTGTGTATCTGACTATAGTTATGGGCAGCTGTAATTATGTTCTTGGCTATGTGTGTGACTGTGAGGTTATAGTTGTGCATAGCCACGGTTGTGTGAGATTGTGGATAAGAGTAGCTGTAGTAACGCATATGGCTGTAGTTGTGGGCAGCTTTACTTTTGTGTATGGTTGTGTGTGTGGCTGTGAGATTGTAGTTGTGCATAGCCATGTTTATATGAGACAGGGGTTGTGGGTTACAGTGGATATGAATAGTTGTCATTGTGTATATGACTGTAGTTGCGGGCGGTTGTAACTGAGTGCCTGGTTGTGTGTGTGACTGAGACTGTAGTTGGGCATAGCCATGGTTGTATGACACTGGCTGTGGGTGACTGGATATGAGTAGTTGTTAGGCGTATGACTGTACTTGTTGGTAGCTGTAATTGTGTGCTTATGGCTGTGAGTGTAAGAGGTGGTTGTATGACTGTATGTGGCTGTATGTGTTACTGGGGGGACTGTAGCATGACTGGCTGTGATCCTGCATGTATCTACCTGGGGGGAGCCATATGCCCAGATATGCTTGCAGGTGAGGGTGCCCCAGGGGTCAGCCCTGCCCCGGACCCACACTGTCCTCCTTCCCCCCACAGTGTACAAGACCAAGCTTCTCAAGAAGGAGCTGTCGGATGACTTTGATGATTACATAATGGTCATTGAGCAGATCATCAAATCAGGTCAGTCCTGTGCTCTGTCTTCTGTCTTTCTGCCTCCCCCCCCCCAATTTTCCTCCTTCCCACCAGCTCAGCTTCCCTCTCCGTCCCCTCCAGGCTCCGATGAGGTGCAGGTTGGACAGCAGCGCAGGTTCATCAGCCACATCAAGTGCAGAGAAGCCCTGAAGCTGGAGGAGAAGAAACGCTACCTCATATGGGGCATCTCCTCTGACCTGTGGGGAGAGAAACCCAAGTGAGTGCCGGCCCTGTGCATACATGTGGTAGCCCCCTCCTGCCCTCCCCCTGCCCCCTCCTGACCTGCCGTCCCTTCCCCCAGCATCAGCTACATCATCGGGAAGGACACCTGGGTGGAGCTGTGGCCTGAGGCCGACGAATGCCAAGACGAGGAGAACCAGAAACAGTGCCAGGACCTGGCCAACTTCACCGAGAACTTGGTCGTCTTTGGCTGCCCCAACTGAGCCCCCCATCATCGTCCCCCCAATAAAGCTTCAGTTATTTTTCACACCTCTCCCAAAGTCTGGGGGTCTTTGAGAGAGGGAAAGAGGCAGCTGGGGATCACACTCACCTGCAGCTCAGCTCCATCCTACCTGAACTGCGCTTGAGGCCCACTTCAGTCTCTCCTGTCATTCACCTGCAAGTTTGCTGGCTTCCTCACCCAAAGAGCATGTGCCTGCCTCACTGCACCTAGCCTGAAGTGCACCTGCAGCTTCCTCCGCATCTCACCTGTGCCTCAGCTCCATCCTTCCCTGAATTCTCATCTGCGTCCTCACCGGCAGCTCACTGCCCCTTCACCTGAGTTCTCACCTACTTGCCTACCTGCCTCCTTACTGCATCCTCACGTGAATTCTTACCAGTATTCTCATCTGAAGCTTTACCTGCTCTCTCACCTGTACCCTAGACTGTATCCTCTTACATTTTTTTGCATCCTCACCTGGCCCCGAACCTACATCTTTAACTGTAAACTTAGCTGTATCTTTACCAACATTTTTACCTGTGTTCTCACCTGTCTTTCCATCTGCATCCTCACTTGTATTTTGTCTGCATTCTCATGTCTGTCCACACCCGCATCTTTGCCTACATCCTTCTCTGGATCTCTTCCTGTCTTCTTACCAGCATCCTTACCTACACTCTCACCTACATATTTACCTGCCTTATCACCAGCACCTTCCCCTGCATCTTTACCTGTGTCTTCACCAGCATCATAACCCTACAGCCCTTGTCTGCCTTCACCTTCATCCTCACCTGCCTCCTTACTGCCTCCTCACGTGTTCTCATCTTCATCTCATTTACCACTTATCTACAGCTCTCACTCCATTTCCTATCTCACCTGCATTCCATTTGCCCTCCTCTAGGCTTGCCCCACCCTCCCGGTCACCTCTTCCTAGATGGGCCTGTGAGACTCAATGCTTCTGTAGGATCCTGTGGGGCATCTGTGCTCGGGAGGGGGCGGTAAGAGGCAGGCAAGATGATATTTCCGGCTGGAGCCCCAAGTGAGCAAGCGAGGGGAAGGCATGAGTCAGCAGTCGAAGAGGGAGTGCGGGGGCTGTTGCGGTCACAGCATCAACATAACTGCGTGGGGAGCGGTGGCAGCCACAGGCAAGGGGGGCCACTGGCTGCCACGGGGGACTGGGGCCCCACGTGCATCTTCTGCCTCCACGTCTAGTCCCTTGAGGACTGTTGAGGGTGAGATCCAAGCTCCTAGCTCTGGATCGGGTCATCCTGTGAAAAGCCCCTGAGCCTAGAAGTCACTCCTGCACAGCCCCCTTCCCCTAAGACTTCCAGGTCCTGGAAACTCCCACCTCCCAAATCCAAGAAGATGGGGGAAATAGAGTCACAGCCCACTCCCACTCCCTCTAGCCCCTGATTGCGAGGGTCCCCTGTCTAGGGGGAGACTCAATGAGACTCATCTCTCACAGGTGTCCCAGGTGACGTCTACCAGGCCCCCTGCCCTCCTCTACATCTATCATCTCATTTCTTTTCTTGCTTACCCCTTTCTCCTGCCCTGGGATTCATTTTCTTCATTTCTTTAACACACAGGGTGTTGTTTTATTTGAGCACCTACGGTTCTAGGCTCTAAACAGCACAGACAGGATCTTATGAAACTTATGTTCTAAAGACAGCATGGAGTTGATTTCAGACAGTAAGGATGTCCAAAAAAGAATGGAGAACAGGGCGATGCGAGAAGTCTTGCCTGCAGTGGGGCCACTAGTAACGATCATTTAGATTGAAGGATGGTTCACTTCATGTGTCAACTTAGTTGGGCTATGATGACCAGTTGTTTGGTCAAACACCAGTCTAAATGTTGCTATGAAGGTCTTTTTTTAGATTCATGCCTGCAGTCAGTTGACTTTAGAAGCAGATTACCCTTGGTAATGTGGGTATGCCTCATGCAATCAGTTGGAGGGCTGAAGGGAAAAAATTAAGTTTCCTGAGGAAGAAGGAATTCAAGATAGCAGCATAGAAATTCTGCCTGAGTTTCTAGCCTTCAGACTCAAGGCTGCAGCATCTTAACTGAACCTCCAGCCTACTGGCTTGTCCTACAGATTTTGTACTTGCCAAGCCACACGATTGCATGACCCTATTTCTTAAAATAAATAGCTGTGTGTCTGTGTCTGTGTCTCTCTATCTGTCTCTCAATAGAGTAGATAGATAGATAGATAGATAGATAGATAGATAGATAGATAGATAGATAGATAGACAGACATGATGGATGGATGGGTGGATGGATGGATGGTTGGATGGATGGATGGATGGATGGATGGATGGATGGATGGATGGAGATATATTATTGGTTCTATTTCTCTGGTGAATCCTGCCTAATACAAGTGATCAGGGAAGGCTCCTGTGAGGAGGGGGCTTCTTGAGTTAAGACATAGATGACAGGGAGGAGCCAGCCATGGGTGATCTGAGAAAGACTGTTCCAGGCAGAGAGAACAGTAAGTGCAAAGGCCCCAAGAGGCCAGAGGCAAAGTGAGCAAAATCATAAGGGCTTCAAGATAGCAATGACCACTTGGTGTCTGTTCTAAGCTTAGGGGACAGCAAACATCGTCTACTAAGGGCCAGGTAGTAAATATTTTGGACTTTGAGGGCCAAGAGGTAAAATCAAGGGTGTTATGAAGGAACTTATAAACAAGAAAGGAAATGTCTTGCCCTGCCATGCCCTGTTCTCTTGAGATGGGCCATCCGGGGAGGTGGGCATGCTTTGTACCTGGCTTCTAGAGACATTCTCTGGATGAAGAGCGATTGATCTGAGGTTTGGAGGTCCAGGCAGGTGGAAGGGGTAAAGGATGACCCTTGAGGCCAGTTTCTCTGTATGGGCTTATGATACCCAGACCCCAGCCAATGCCTCTCTCCCGAGGCCTAGCTGCATCACCTAGATTAGTTGGCCAGAGAAAAGAGGACATGCTGAGTCGCCAACCCCCAGAATGAGATTCACCCACTCAGTGCCCAGCAGTTACCAACAGAGGAGACTCCAACATGTACACGTAGGGGCCAGCAGAACCAGCATAAGCTGTGGACAATGATGGGGTTTTGGCTGCCAGCCAGAGAGGCGGGCACTGGGAACAGAGTGGGGAACAGAGGGCAGAGGAGGACACCCTATCTGGGTCTCCAAAGCTCACTAAAGTGCCTGCTACTCCTGTGGCTGTACAGAACCAGAGGGCTGACCAGATTTGTCCCATGGCCATGATATGCTAACCCCTATAAGCCCAATGGGAAGCAATGGAACATTTGAAGCAGGGGAGAGATGAGAGCTGACTTAACGTGTTTAAAAAGCTGATGCCAGCAATTCTGCTCCTAGGTATATACCCAAAAGAATTGAAACCTGGTAACCAGACAGATAAATGTGCACACATGGTCATAGTAGCATGATTCACAACAGCCAAAAGGTGTAAACAACTTAAATGTCCATCAACAAATCAATAGATAAGCAAAATGTAGTCCATCCATACAATAGAATATTATTCAGCCATAAAAAAGGAATGAACCACTAACACACACTACAACATAGATGAACCTTGAAAACATTATACTCAGTGAAAGAGGCCAGACACAAAAGACCACATATTTCATGTTTCCATTTTTATGAAATATCCAGAACAGTTAAATCCATAGAGCAGGAAGGCAGACTCCTAGTTGCCAGGGGCTGGGGGACTTGGGAAATGGAGAGTGACTGCTTAATGACTCTGGGGTTTCCTTTCAGGGCATTGAAAACATTTTGGAACTAGATAAGAGTTGCGCAACATTGTAAATGTACTAAATGAGTTGTTCACTTTAAAGTGGTTAGTTTTGATCAAAAGCTGGGTAGCTCAGTTGGTTAGAGCATGGTGCTAAAATGGTTAGTTTTATGTTGGGTGAATTTCATCTCAATAAAATAAAATTTTAAAAAAATAAATAAATAAGTGAGCTCACACCTAGCTAGAAGGTAGAGAATGAATCATAAGGTGGCAAGAGGTACAGCAAGACATCCAGTTGGGAAGCTACTGCAACAGTCCAAGCAAGAAATGGTGGGTGGCTTACTGTCTTGGTCTGATTGGGCTGCTATAACAAGATACCCTAGACTGAGTGCCTCAGACAACAGGCATTCATTTCTCACAGTCTGGAGGCTGGAAGTCTGAAATCAAGGTGTCACCACACTCAGGTTCTGGTGAGGGCTCTCTTCCTGGTTGGCAGATGGTCACCTTCTTGCTGTGTCCTCACATGGCAGAGAGAAAGAACATCTCTCTCATGTCTCCTCTTATAAAGGCACTAATCCCATCGCTAGGGGGCCCCATCCTCATGACCTAACCACCTCCCAAAGGCTCCACCTCCAAATTCCAACACACTGGGGGATTACGGCTTGAACATATGAATTTGGAGGGGAACACAAACATTCTGTCCATAGTGCTTAGCTAGGGGTGCAGCAACGGGGATGGAAACAAGTGGCTGGATTTGAGGTCTGGTTTGGAGGTTGAATAGACAGGGCTTGCTGAAGGGTGGGATGTGGGGGACAAGACAGAGGGAGGAGTCCAGGATGACTCCCAGGCCTTGAGCTTAGCTAACTGGATGGGCAGTGGTTCCACCCCCCTGACTGGGAGTTCCAATTAAAACTTGCATACACACCTACACACATGGGTGCACACACACATTTACACATGCATGCGTACACACTGGTGCACACACACATGCACCTGTGAACACGTGCCTGCACAAATATGCTTGCGTGTGTGCATGCACACGCATGCACACACCTACCTGTGCACACATGCATGCATGCTTCCACCTATACACACTTCCATGTACACACATGCATGCACATAGCATACACGTGCACACAGATATGCATGCACACGTACCCACACATGCATGCACAAGTATATACACAGAAACTGCTCTTGTATTTTCCACTGCTCTTATCACCGTCTAAAACACTATATATTATTTTCTTATTTATTCAGCTCATTTTCTTTGCACCCCACTATAATAAGAGCCACATAAGACCAGGCACATTTGTCTCTCTTGTTC